ACTGCATCTGATCAGAAAGTTCGACAAGTTGAGCGCCATCGAGAAGAGTTTGATCTCCAAGCTATAAAACTGTGAGAAAAAAGAAACTGCACATTACCTGAATATATTCAGCTCCACCCTCACCAGTCACAGTAGTGTACGCGCCCGAAGCAATTAGATTCTCAAGTGTGGCCATATCCATGTTCTCATCGGCGGCAATGAGGACCATTTCCTCACCTTCATTCTGTATTCCGAGATCATTAAGAGACAGATACACTTGGCCATTATCCGTGGCCGAGGCATAAGGAACAGTCGAGTAACCGCCATCAGCATTCACCATGACTGGTGTGCCATCCTCTGTCACCATTTGTTCCGCCATCCTATACCAGCTGAATTTCGGAAAAACTCAGGTAACTAAAAGCCGAACAATAGTGCAAACTGTTGTTATGTTATAAATGCCGGGATTTAACGATACGGATAGGCAATCCTGAGAGCATTGCATATTATCCGCCAGCAAATCGTCGATACAAACAAAAAATGGAGAGATTTAAACAACCATTAACTCACTTAAAACAATTTCAAGGACAATATGGCGGAAAATCTGAAGTGCGCACAAATATCATTCAGAGCATATAAACAAAAATGTGCAATCATAGACTGCTTGTATAAGGTGTATACAAATCTCTTCACTGAACGTTTTTTTCATACTTATTAGTTAAATCATTCACTTTAACTAAAAAAAAATTCTTGTACAACAAATTTGTTATGACTTAGTGTTCTGATTGAAATTGCATAATTATTTTGTGTATGGTAAAAAGATTCGGACAGATTGCTTTTTTTATCTCCGGTTTCAAATCTGACCGTAGACTTTTTACAAGAAATCTTCGAAAGATTTCTCAAACTCTGAAAAGAAGCATGCCTTTTATTTGCAGAGATAAAAACAATCACGAAACGACGTGTTTCACCCTCCTTAACGAATAGGTGACCTAAATGGACCCACGCACTGCCAAATGTTGCCTTTGAGGTTCGTCCTCTAGGCAATGTTAGACTTGGTCCCTACGTATCATCGGAACTTTCGATTACACTTGAATCTTCTGCTGATCGCTTTATCTCGAATAAAGTGAAGCTTTATGAAGTCCACTTCGTTTCCTTCCAGGCCAAGCACGCCTGTTATAGCTGAAAATATTAATGAGCCGAAAAATAACCCTGGCAAATCTAAATCTGTGCCAAAGCAAATTTCCAA